TATATGTGTTTGTTGGCTGTCTCTTTCAGTAGAATATAATCGCTGTGTGGACAGAGTTTACATCTGTCTTAAATGCTAGTGAATCCCCTTTGCTTACTTACTATGACTAGAACATAGTAAGTTTTCCCTTAACATTTATTGAATTTATAAAGAACCTTTTCAGTCTAAACTACATTTGAATATTTGCCATTTTCTGCTCACAGGTATAGAGTTTTGAACACGCGCTTTATTTATCTTTATATCCTGAATTATTCGAATGATGCCTATATCACATTAGTTTCATGAATAAGTGAACTAATTAACAAACCGTAAAAATACACAAAGTTACCAACTAGTTTAGTCGATACATTCATGACTGACTGAACTAGTTCTATATTAAATTGGAATTTATCTACTTGTAAGTGAAGTTCTTCTAAAACTAATATTAAAGTTGTAAAAATAAATTTGTATTTTCTTTTAGAAATGTTTGTCATTCTTAAGAACTGTTCATTATTGAAGCTCACAATCCCTTCCAGCAGCATAAAAGAAATTGTCTAGGTTAGACTTTCTTCCTTCATTATAATTTCATGAGAATTTTAAGGCTGGAAAAAGTCAGGCAAAATGTTTTCACTTTGAGATAAAAAGACTTGGTAAGTAAAGAGTTGGAATAGCTTAGGTGAAAAAATTGACATTAAACCCAGATGGAAAAAAGGCAGTTGTGACAAGTGATGAACACTTCCCTGAGCCCAATGATTTCTTTACTCTATCGGCAAAGCAAGGTAAAAGACAGCCTCAACACTAACACATAAAACTGATTTTAATAGAGAAAAACCCACCATGCAACAAGATAGCTTTGTCTTAGCAAAATAATCATAGAATCTAAAATTCATCAACTTTAAGTTTGCCTTTGTTACATGTTTTTCTTGACGGTGAACTCTTTGCCAATAGTTTTAATATCTCAGGTGATGTAGTTCTCTGTGTAATTTTACAAACAGTTGGCTATTCGTCATATTAACTTGTTAAATGTTTTAGAGAGAGTATTAGATATGGTCTTGTCCGCAATTATGCCCTAAACCAGAACTGAACTCAGGTCTCAGGATTCTTGTCTATGTTCCCTTTGCTATATCCAGGGTCAAAACTCAAATACCAAAAGGAGTCAGATAGCATAAATGAATAAACAGACTGGGCAAATAAATATTTTCTTTACTCTCACAGAGAAGTTTTTTTTTCAGCTTTTGTACTCTAGGATTGAATTCCATGATCCCTCCTTTGACAGAGAGATGGGCATAGAGAAATAGCTCTCTGCCACAAGTAAAACTTCGTACAATCATGATGATAAATTGATGAAATCCAGTGTCTGTTATGGGGAAATGATACGGGGTAGTGGTGCCTCTTACAAACTGAGGGGTGCAGGCCTTCCGAAGGGATCAGTCACCACTCATCTCCAGGTGACTCTTGCCATGGGAGAATGTGGGTGGCCCAGTGTCTTACATTTGCCAGTTCTTCAAAAGAAACAAAAATCTGGATTTTAAGTGAAATTGAATTTTAAAATATTGGCTCATTTTTAAAACACATTGTATTTCCCAAATAAAATACATCTGTGGGCCAGATGCCACCTTATACACCCATTCTTTATCACTGTGTTATATACTATAATGCATTTCTATTTCTTTCATATTCCAAATGCAGATCCCACCTTTATAAGGAAGGCTTAGAAGTCTAGCCCAAGTTATTTATTGTAAGATAGCCTCTCCCTCTTGATCTAGACTTGTAAGCCATCCTGAAGGAGATCTGTCTCCCTCCAGCTCAAGAGTTCTACCAATCAAAATAATTAGTAGAACTTTTCTACCGACTCTTAGAGCTGCCTGATGTCAGAGCTAAAATCTGAGAAGATGGAGGAAATAAGAAAACAGTTATAGAGTTAGACTAGCTCTGTCTATATATTTCTGAGGCAACCACTTAACAAATACAGTAATTGTGGTTAAATTGGTTATTTCATTGAAAAACAAATAACCACTCATGCGACACTATGTTCTTCTATACTGTGCTAAATGCATTAGAGAATAAAGTATAAGTGGTGAGATCAACCCTAGGAACAGGCACTCCAGGCTTTCAAAATAAGCACTCAATTATTTGGCAAACTGGCTTGCTCTTTGCTAATCAGGGTAGGCCTTTACCACCAGATGCTGTGAAAAAATAAAACAACGCTGCTGACCACCTGAGATCCTATTCTCCCAACATTTTTTGCTCCTTTGGTGGCATTCCCTTCTTATCAATAATACGTATTATGAACTAAAAGTCACCTGTACACCAGATCCTCACCACAACCTCCCCTACAAAGCAAATTTTATTATCCCCATTTTACAATTGTAGGAGATGAATCTCTGAAAGGTCTCGTAAATTTTCCTAGGTACCACAGCATGTCAGTATCGACCATGAGTTTGAACCCAAGCCTGTGTGTTTCCAAAGTCCATGTTCTTTCCACTAAGCCGCTGTTTTAAGATGTAGGTTTTATTATTCAGGATGATGAGGCCAACATCAGGAGATGATTGTCATGGAAAAGATGGTTTGTTACTGTTCTCGAGAGGAGGAGGCATGCCACACCACACAGCACCACACGAGAGGTACCAAAGTTGTCCCTAGTTGTCTAGTACCTGGCCCTGAGATGATTAGAGCAGGGAAATAGTGGCCCACAGAGGACGTGGTAGAGAAGTGGGCTCTGAATTAGTTAGTTTGCATAAACGGCATGCTCACAAGTGAATTTAGTCCTTTACTATCTCTAGGAATTGGCTAACCCTGAGAGGGGCATCCTTCCAGGATCAATAAGGCCTCAGAAAGAGTCAGAAATACAGAAAATAAAAAGATGTGATTAATATGGCCACATTTCCTTTCCTTAGACCCACAAGTTCAAAAGTCATCCTTAACTCTGAATTTCTTATATCCTGTAACTGGTTAGTCACTAAAATTGTTTTACTTTTTTAAAAAATGTGTCCCATCCATTCATTCACAATGCCCAGCATTGTTGTAGGCACTGACTGGGGTGTGAGAAATAATGAAGCTTTTGATTTAAAAGAGCTTAGAGTGTAGGGTAAAAGACAGATATATAAACTAATGATTTACTAAAAGAACTTGAAAAATGCCTAAATAGAGCAAGGACAAGGAATATTTGTGCCTTGTGTTTTCACTATCAGCCTCTGAGTGTGTCTGTGTTTCCTGCTCTCTATGCCTGGTTATCCCCCTGTCCTGCATACCCTATCAGACTAATTTTTCCTAACTTTTCATCATTTTGCTCCCCAATTCGAAATAGTTTTCTATGGCCTCAAATCCAATAAAACTATAAACATTTTTCTGATTTTCAAGACCCACTGTCTCCTCAACCCTCTTTGTTCATCCAATATTTCCACCACTTCATTTATTCTCTTACTTGTTACCTTCTGAGCAAATTGTGCCCCATGCAAATAGACACAATTGTAAAGTGTGTGGTAAGTGCTACCAAGAAGTACATGGTCCTATGTGAGCATGTGGCATGTTATGCCTCCATTATGGTTCATACATCCCACATTTATTCAACAAATACTTATTGAGCATCTATGATATGCCAAGCACAGGGCTTGTCCAGTCCAGGGTTTGAGACCTAGATCTGTCACTTACTCCCTGTGACCTTGGACAAGTTATTTTATCTCTTTTACTCCCAGTTTTCTCATCTCCATAGTGGACAATAGTATCTTTTCCATAGCAGTATTGTGAGGAATAAATAAGATAATGTATGTAAAATGCTTAGCTTTGTATTAATTAATATAGGATGAGTGAGTCAATAAATTTCAGATGTAGTATTTATACTGTTGTTGGCCTTAATGGTAGAGACACTCTCTACAACCCGGTAATCCTGTTTTCAAAGGAGGCTAGTGGAGGAGAAAAGAGGTTATTGAGAATCAGAGTAGTCAAGTGACTTGCATAAAGTCACACAGCTAGTTAGTATCAGAGGCAGAGGGCGGATCCAGCCACGGTGCCTCCGGAACAAATTCTCTTCCTGTCACACAGCCCCAGCTCTCAGGAAACATGCTCAGAGAGGCCATCTCCTTGAGGCCAAAATAACCAGTAGGTTCATAGTTTGAGTGAAAATAAATCTGTCAGAATGGTTGTTTTGGAGTCTTCGAGACTCATGTAAACATTGAGAAAATACACAAATTAAGTTCAGGAACCCAAACACAGTGTTAGCTATGTTCTTGCAAGCAAGAGTTCCAGCATAGGGAAGCATGTCTCTTCCTGATGCATTTTACATATTATTTTGTTCAGAACTACCAAGTGGATTAAGGAATAGAATTTTAGACATGGAGTTTCAAGTGAGAAGATGGTTGTTTCCAGATCTCAGACATGTCTGTCCTTGGAGAACTACGTCTCAAGTTTCCCATGTGTTAACTTTTCAATCAGGAGGTACTCGTGACAGCTTTGGGACTTTTTTTTTTAACTTTTTTTTTTTTTTTTTTTTTAACCGAACCTCCCTCCTCATAATCTCTTTCACTCAGCTTCTCCATTAGTTAGACGGAATGAGTAATTCAAAGTCTGACATTGCCCTGAGGTAACAGCCTGGATTGGGAAAGTGGACATGGTGTGAATCAGAAGTTAGCGCTGTAACACCCAGATCCCTGACCATTTAACTTGAGTTTCCCCTCCATCTCAGTCCTCCCCTCACATCTAGTTCTTGAGCCTGATACTACCTGCTGCTACCAGTTCAGCCTTGGGAGTTTCGTTTCCTGCTACTCTTCTCTTTAAACTTCTTTGCTTTGTAATCCAAGAGGCCAGCACTAGGTTAAGCAAAACTAGATTTCTGAAAGAGGTGAAACACTCTTGCCAAGTTAGCATTTTAACATTCTTAGATTCTCTATGGACAAAGAGCTGAAAAAAAAAAAAAAAAGACAGACATTTTAATATCTTTTTTCTGGCTTAAACATAGATTAGAGAAACTATAAAAAACATAGATTAGAGAAACTATAAAAAACAAAATCTCTTTTGTTTTTCAGATAGACCACATGGTGCAGGGCCATGCTGCCTTTCCTGAACTACAAGCCAAGGCCACAGCCAGGTAACTGCTCTCTGTCCTCTATGACTTTTTCATGCTTGACTATGTTGAGGGCATTTACTTTAGGCTGATGTGTGATTTTCAGATCCTATGGGCAATAAAAATGCCTGGCAGTACTTGGTTATAAGATAGTCATCCAGATGATCTAGAACATGCAGGTATTAACTTTTAAAATGACCTAAGAGAATTCAAAGAACCTACAGATCCACCCCCTCCCTCCACCAACTACCACCACCAGCAGCAAAATATGCCAGGAACCATGGATGAGAAACTGATGTAATAGAAGGAAGATGGATTTTGGAGTCAAAACTTCTTGGGGTCAAATCCAGCTTTATTCCTTACTCAGTGGGTGACCTTGGACAAGTTATTCAAACTCTTTAGGCCTGTCTCTTCATTTGTAAAACTGAGGATAACTGATATGGAGTAAAATCCAGGTTATACCAGTAAGTAAAGAAAGTGGAGTGCAAAGCAGTGTTGACAATATGCTCCCTTTCATGTAAAAAGAAGGAAATATAAGAAAACGTGTATTTGTTCCTTTTATGCTAAAGAAATATAGGAAAGTTAAACCAGAACCAAATGAGATTGGTTATCTATAAAGTGTGGGTAGGAATGGGATAGAAAGATTGGAGGAATGGGACCAGGGTTGTAGCGGGGAATGACACTTCTATGAGTACACTTTTTTACATAACTCTAACTCTTAGAACCATGGTGATGTTTCATGTCCTTCTGAAAATAAATAGACAGAAGGTAGGTAGGTAGGTAGGTAGACAGACAGAGACAGAACCAGGATGTGGTTGAGGTAGACAAAATGAAATACAAACAGTAAAAACGGAACCTCTTGTATTAATAATGAATAACATAACTACACTAAAAGGGGTTTGGGAAAGAAAACTAGCCTAAGTAACTTTGGGGAAGAATATTTTGACAGTATGCTGTATGGCTAAAGGTAAAATAACTGTACATAAATATTATACTCTAATTATCAAATTTTCCCTAGATATATGGTTAGCTATTCTGAAAATCTTTTATGTGTATATTACAGTTGAGCAAATAAATATATTGTGGGTAATAACATCCAGGGAAAGGGAAGGTTAGAATGAACCCTATGATACTGGCTGGAAATCAGAGGTATTAGGATCAACTTGCGACTTTATATATATACACATACATATGTGTGTGTATATTTATATTTATAATGTGTGTATATATATATATGGATATAAATAAAAATAAATATATATATGCACATTTATGTGTGAGTATACATACACATATTCCCTGCTCTCTGCTGAGATGGCCTAGGAACAATGACACCCTAGTAGCAATGTGCACACCTAACACTGGTTCTGTTTCTAAATGCCATTCTCCTTTTTTTCAATAAATTAATCAGGACTTCTTAGAAAAATGGTCAATTCCAACTCTAGGGCAGGGAAAATACATGAACATTTTGTGATGTCAGAAAGGAATTGTGGAAGTATGTAGGAGCCAGCTTTAAGAATCTCTCAATGGCCTGCCTAATCAGGGACAATTTGATCAATTGAATAAATAATGATAGTACAAAATAACTCCATGAGGCCATACTGATATAAGTAAACAATTGAAAAATAAATAAATGGGGAAGAAAGGACAGATCTTCCTGTCCCCTATAAGGACACTGTACTTAAAATTAATAAATATAGTAGAAATAATAGAAATTGAAAATCATTGTTAGGCAAACACCACAGTAATTATCACTTCAAGCAAGAGTCATTAATGGATGCTAAAATTAGTGAGTGAAAACAGGATGCAAAGCAGGATATTTGCATAGTCTCAAAGTATCTCACTATAAGATACTTAGTAATATAATAGGAAAAATGGTAACTTCACAGTGGAGAAATCTGGCAGACAACACCCTACCCACGTGATCAAAGTTAACAACCTTGGCAGTAAGACATATCAACATCATGTATGTCTTTTTGAAGCACTGAGGTCATAACATCATTCCTGTAATGTTCTTTCAAAAAATGCATAATCTCAATGTCAATATGAGAAAATATCAGACAAACCCAAAATGAGCAATATTCTACGAAATTCTTAGCTAATATACTTCAAAAAGAGATTATGAAATGTAAAGAATTACTGAAGAACTGTCCCAGATTGGAGGAGACAAAGGAGATGCTACAACTAAAAACAGTATATGATCGTCATGTGATCCTGGATCAGAAAAAGGACATTAGTAAGGGAAAACTGTCAAAATTCAAATAAGTCTGTAGATTAGTTAATAATATTGTATTTATGTTAATTTCTTAAATGAGTGTAAGGAAAGTCTATTATTTTTGTAGCATTTCCATAAATTTAAAATTATTTTTTAAAACTTTTTATGGTAACAATGCACAGCTGCTGGGCTTTTTCAGAAAGTAAGGTATTTTATAATATTAACAGAGAAACCCCATGCAATTAGTAGATGGATGAAGAGAGAGAGTCTGAGGTTGAGTTTAATAGTATAGGCTTTGGAGCCAAATTGCCTGTGTCTCAGCTTTATCCCTTAGTAGCTCTGTGACCCTGGGCAATTTATTTAACCTCTTTGTGCCTTAGTATCTCACTATGAAGGGAAGCAGCAATAGTCAGCACTTCCCCAGGTTGTCGAGAAAATTAAATGAATTAAAACAGTAATGGCACATGTTGACAATTAAGTGTCAAGATATGAATGGTATTCAGTAAATGATACTGGTAGTGATAGAAGTAATCGTTATGGTTGTCGTGGTTACTTATATTAAACGTTTCCGTTCCACCAAGGGTCTTACATTCCAGTAGGGGAGGCACACACTTGCACAGAGTAGAATGAAATGCATACTGTACTAGAATTTAAGCAGTGTGTTGTCAGGTATAGAGAAGGAAGGTTGATCCTGACAAGGAGTTTGAGAAATGCTTCACAAGCTTTCCATTCTAGAAATCTCTAGTTACAAAGCTATTACCACCAAGAGGGATCACACTATGTAACCTCATCAACTAGCCCTTTATTTGGCTTAGAGACCTTATAACTTAGAGCAGTTCCTAACTTCAGATGATCAGTAAACTCTTTAATTGTGTGCAGAGTTTTGTTGACGATATACATATATTTCTGCAAGGAGGGGTCATAACTCTCATCAGATTCTTGAAGGGCTCCAGCATTTATAAACCACTAACCCAAAGACAAGAGCCCTGGATTTGGAGTTTGGAGCTCTAGATTCATACCCACTTCCAACATACATCATTGCGTGACCTTCAGTGTCCTCATCAGAACATGGGAGAATATTACGAGAGAACCAGCCCTGAATACCTCTGAGAAATCACTTTAAGTTTAGTGAAGTAGTGTATTTGGGAAAGTTTTGTAATCTGTACTATGACAGTAAGTACTCCAACTACTACTGCTACTATTACTAATGATTGTAAAAGAGGCAGTTTGGGCAATAGTTCAAGGTTGCGCAGCAGATGTCAGTCATCTATAACCTGCCTACTTTCTTGTGGAAATTGTGGTAGAGTAGCGAGAACGTTGGACTGGGAATTATGGTTAGTGTGTCAGTTCTGCCATAAATGTCTTGTGACTCAGTTTCTTCACTTATAAAATAATAATGCTGCCCTGCTTAACTCATTTTACAGGTGTTTATATGTATGAAAGTTCTTCTATAGATGAACCTCATGTGAGTAATTTTTACTGAAAATAGGAAAGAAGGATTTATGGATTAACATGCAAACTCAAACAGCAGCATGACAGCCATTTGCAGCGTTCAGTCTTGGAGTCAGAACTAGATTTAAATCCCAATTCTTTCCACATGTAAATCGACTTCCTGCCCACTTCCAACTGCCTCCCCATATATCTCTTTAGAGCTAAGTTTCACCAGAGCATTGCCTATACTCTTGGTCACTATTCTGACTTTGTACTCTTCCCTTTCTCACTGCAATTTGTATTCTGTCACCATTGGCCCCCGAAACATTTATTGTTAAGGTTCTCGGCAATCCCTGTTTGCTAAGTCCTTAGGATGTGTTCCAGCCCGCTTCCTTGTGCTCTCAGCAGCACGTGGCACCAATGACGACTTCTTCCTCTCCTTATAACACTCGCCTTTCTTGGCTTTTTTGAGGGGGATGTCAGAAAAGAACATTGGTAGTCAAGGTTCTATTAACAGAATTAAGACAATAATTAATTTAGAGGAAAAGAGCCAAAGTTACGATCCAGAGACATAATCTATACAACCTTTAAATGTACCTGAGATTTGGTATATTGGGGACCAGTGCATTTCAAGAAATTGATCCTCAGAGGGATTGAGGGAATCACTGAAGCAAAAGAGGTCTGAGGTATAAATCAGATCAAGAAAAACAGATGATCTTCAAAGGAATAACAGAAAAAATCCAGGGAAAGTGGGAGGAAAAAAACAAGTTGAGAGAAAGTAAATTAGGAGAGCTTCATGCTGACAATCTGTAGGGACCTGAAACCAATACTGCTACTACTACTACAATCAGAGTCATAATTTATAGAACCCTGTGCCTCTCTGAGTCTTCCTTCTTGATCTGCTTTTCAAACTCATGGTCTTTTTCTTGACCATAACATCAGAATTCATCACAGCTAATTTCCTGGACCTCTTCTCTCTTTGCTGTTTTTTCCAAGGTGATCCCTTCTATACTCTTAGCTTGATCTCCATTTTAAGGATTCTCAGATTTTATCTCCAGCTCGTATATTTAGTATGTATTTAATGAATGTTGGTTTGCTTTCCTTTCACTTTCTTTCTATTGTCTTACAAAGGAAAGTGTATCTCTATTTTATCAGATCCATGAATAGAATATTCCAAAACTGTAGAACCCATTGTGCTTCAGGTCTTCGAAAGAAATAGGCCTAGCTTTTATTAAAGTGAGGCTGGCTATTTGGAAAGGACAATAGATTCCATGGAATCAGAAACCATATGTCTCTTTTGGTGTGACTTATGGCTCTTTGAAAGCAGCAATGCGGGCCACCCCTGTCGTAGAGCTTAGCATCCGCAAATCCTGTTTGA